AGAGCTGCTGGTACCACGCTTGGAGAGAGGTTGCCTGAAGATGGATGCAGTGCAGAAGGCGTTAGAATAAAGATAAGAGGAGTGAAACAGAGCCCTGATGTCATCATCTGAGCGATGAATCCATCCATGTCTGTCATCGGAGTTACCCAGCGTCCCTGAACTGCCTTGCAAACAGCCCCTATGCCTTATGAGCCAGCTTCCAGCGGTCCCTTCAGGTGGGAAAGCAACCAGGTTAGTCCTTTCCTATTCCTAGTACATACCGTCTCCTACAGGAGGCATTAACCAGTGAGGACAAGGCAGTCTGTTGGTCAGGAATAAATACCTTCCAGGTTTGGGGAGGAAAACAGAGCCCTCGGACTAGGCTTCTCACTATTCTGGAAGACAGACACCTGCATCCCATCACGCTGGAAAGCTCAGACCGCCTTCCCAGGACACAGCAGTGTGCAAGGGTGATTTCACAGCTACTGGTGGGAAGGAGATGCCAGTAGTGTCCTCACTGCCTGCTAGATCTCCTGCGTCAGCATTTTTTTCTTATTTATTTATTTACTGATTTATTTGTTTATTTTTATTGAAGTACCGTCAGTTACAACGTGTCAGTTTCTGGGGTGCAGCACAGTGTCCCAGTCACTTCCTGCATCCAGATTTGTCACACACGAAGCAGCCCACAGGGATCTCAGAGTGTGAGATGTTAGAATTGGAGGAAACCACAGGCATAATGGGATCCGATTTCTCTGCAGTGAGGCTGATTGAGAATAACAATCGTTACACTAACGAGTGCTCATGAGGAGTGACTGCAGCTGTGTGAGCCCAGCGACGCTCCACGGTGGGCGTTCCTTTTGTCAGGATTTCGCAGGGGAGGCTGCAGCAGAGGAAAGGTCGTGCCTTGCACAAGACCATATGTGTCTCGGCCGGAGCTGGGGTTTACCCCCTAATGCCCGAGCCTGTCTGTGCTAGGCTGCCTCCCTCTCTCAGCTGGCGTGAATTACCGCCTCCCGTGAACACTGCCCGAGACACCCCATCCGCTGCGTGTGGTAATCACGTTGTTCTCCACCTCTGCCACTTACTAACATGTGGCACTGGCAAATTTACGTGGTATCTCTGTTTCACACAACTAACTCATAGGTTTGTTGAGAATATTAACCCAGGCCACATGAAGCACTTAGCATAGCAATAAGTGAAAGGCTTTACGATTATTAAATGTGCCATGGTGGCACCGTCACGTTTAAATCAAAACATAACTGACACTTCCCTTTAGTAAATAACTCTCAGGCTTAAACTGAGTATTTGTGGCCTAAATTTCAGGCTGAGGTACATTATGACATAGAAACGTCAAGTTTCGTCGGTAATTTCAAAGGTACACTATGAAGAAGCAGAGACATCTGAGACTTCGATTGTGGGTCCCTGGTCCTTCTTTCTGTGTCAGACGTGGACTCCCATCCCCTAAATAACATTATTGTTTAGGTCGCTTCAAACAGCATGGGAAGGCTTTTAAGTTATGAAGCAGATCCATGTTATACCCCGCTGAAACCATAAACCTGCAGATGACAGGTTTGTTCCAATAACCCTCTAGCCAGGGACATCCTGCTAAGGGCGTTCTGGAGGTATGGTCAGTTATCAGAGGTCCTGCTGAGAAGGCTATCAGGCAGTGCCCTGGCTTCGCTGTCCCCAGCCCCACACCTTGCGGGGGAGGGGGGGTCTCTTCCACAATGGGAGCAAGGGGAGCGAACTGGTTGCAGCCCAGCTACTTTAACTCTTTACTCTCCAGTTCCATGTGAAAAATATCAAAAGCAACTACATTACAGTCCATGCAACTGTGCAGCGTGGCCTGTGTTTTATATGCATCTTTACAGCACAGCTTATAATGAGCAATGTCTCATCTCCTGGTAAAATTCCCAAACTACATTATCCCTAAGTTATTTGGCATCCAACACACTGGCTTCCTTGACTGTTTGAAACTCGAACAAGTCACTTACACTATTTCACAGCTGCCATTTTTGCTGTCTCCGGTTAATGGAGTGCTGTTATTTTAACCTTTCTAGCAGTTTCAGGTGTAGCATAGAGACATGGATTGAGCAATTTCTAAACCATGTCTAGGTAGACAGGTAGGCAGACTTTCCAGACTAGGCTGCATTCCACTACCTGTGCCTCCATTGCAGTGTATTGTAATCACTTCTTCAATTCCTTGTTTTTTCTTAGACTGTTAGCATTGAAAGCATATCTGTTTCCTTCACCTGTCTGCCCAGAATCTAGCATGAGTCCTGGCACAGATAGAAACGAACATCCTTTCGAACATCAGTTGCTGAAAAAGATTCAGTTGCAATGTTTGTTTGTGATTGTTATCCACAAACCGAGACACCGTCCTCTAGGAAGGATAATGCTGTAAGTTAATTTCCGAGAGGAGGAGATACCATAATGCTTCAAGCTTGCTGCACATTGAGCTTTCCCTCCAGGCAAAGAGATTAGCAGTTTCCTTAAAAATAAATGTCTAATCATGTTCAACGTATCCTGACATTTTTACGACCAAACATACAGCATCCAGCCCAAGGAAATGATCCTGTTTCAGATGAAAAAAAAATTTGCTTTCTTAGAATTTTCCAAATTTTACTTGGTCCTTATTTTGTTAAACAAGTCAAAGGATTGCCAAACATGGGATCTTATAATGCGCTTGAACTCCAGTCACTAGTGAAAAGTTGAGTTGGCAATCCAGGTGCACAATAATGAGACATTTGCTGTTTTAAGTGAGACTGAGACTTGCTAGTGTGTCCTCCCCAAGTAGCAAAAGGGAGGCCCTGCTCACCTCCCTTCCCTAAGTTTTTGTTTTTATTTACCAAAAAAAAAATCTTTCTTTTGTCAAGGTGATGACTTTTAAATTGCTCTGCTTGTGTGTTCAAACACCATGAGGTTTAGAAACAGTCCATGGCAGCGATGTGGTTGTGTTTCACTGGGAGCAGGGCAGAGGCTGCCTGTGCCTCCAGAGAGTTGTTTTGTGTTTTTATGGGTGG